ACGTAGGTGACAAGAGAGGAGGAAAGGATGCTGCTGTTCTCTCAGGGAATCACGCTTTTTATTATGTCCCCACTCGAGTTGCGAGGTATGTGTGGGGGGTGATTTCAACTGCCAGAAAAGCAGGGGCAGGGTGCTCCAAAAAACGAGTGTCCTCATGAGGTGGAAACGTGGCCTGCAGGTGGGGAAAGAACAGAGGGGCTGAGGCTGAGCACGGTACTGGGTACCTAGTGCTGGCCCTCCCCGTGGTGCCTGGGAAATCAGGGCGGCTTTGAGAGTGCAACTGCTGAAGCCTTTCAAGTGGGCAGAAGGGAAAAGCAGGAACCCTTCACCAAGGCTTCTCCTTTCCCAAGCAAGATGTAGGTTAACATGAAAAAAAAGTGATGTGAAGACACCAGTTCGTCTAGCCACAGTGAATTATGGAGGTAAGGAGAGTAAATGCGGTTGACTCTTAATGCTACGGGATGAAAACTTTTTTTTTCCCCTCCCTCTACACTTAAGCTCTGTACACCGTCAACCCCAAGCATGAAGTCAGAAAACGCTCGTATGTGGACAACTCTGAGCTCTACACTCCTTGCTCCAAATCTCTTTTTTTCATCAAGAATAAAATCCCTTTGCCTTTTTGCCTCAGAAATAACTAACCAACTTTCACACAGCTTGAGTGCAATCTTTGGCAAAGGCAAAATCTCCTTTATCATCTTCCTGATGCCTAATATTGACAGTTACTGTAGACAATGTGAATATCTTGCCTTTCTTCTAGGTCTGCAACTTATGCATCATTCTCGGTGTAAAAGTCTGTAGTCCTAGTACAGAGACTTTGCTGAGGTCTTTCAAGTAGTAGTGTTTAATGCTCGTAAGGCCAATTTCATGATCGTTTTAAACTAACATAGATTTTCTGTGAATGATCCAGTTAAATGCTTAATCCTAATTGGCTTGGGAGCTGCCTCTTCAATTCTGTGCACCATTTCTAAGTGCTTGGATAATATCAATATAGCACTAGAAATAATAAATGAATGCAGCAGACCAAGCAAAATAATTTCTCCAAAAAAGACCAATATAGTGAAAGGAACATAACAGATGAGTTGTTACAACCAACTAAAGAGAACAGGGGAATGCATTTATATAGGCAAGAGGAAAAACATCCAAAGGTGGAGCAAGGAACTCTTGTGTACCTAAGGATATGATTACGAAGGTTAGAGTGGCTTACAGTATTGGGAGCAGCACAGAGGTCAAGAAGAATAACGGAGGGGAAAAAAGAGCTTGTATTAGAAAAAGAGAGATTAATAACTTGAAAGTAATTCCTGTGTTATTCTGAGGGTAGGATACAGATACAGTCAAAGATATTGCTGCTTGAGCTTGCTGTGGAGACACTGTGAAAGGATTTGCATTATAAAAAGTTGGCAGTGGTAGGCATTTTTGAGATGTACAACAGCTTCTTACAGAATAGCAGAACTAAGGATGCAATAAATACTGTAGGATGCAGTATTGGGATATGAGACCAAACTAAATGAAAAGAACAAAGAAACTTGTTTTGAGAGACAAGTGAAGTAATGGGCTAAGATGATGGCTAAGCATAACAGAAGAGGAAGAAAAGCTGGGGCTATCAAACTGTGAAAAGGCAACAAATTAGATAGGAATTTACACTGGATGATGGAATTAACATAGCCTTACATAGTTTGGAGCAGTATGTGCTTCTCTGCCTCATCTTAGAAAGACAGATCTAATTGTCTATTTAAACACTCTCAGAACAGAGTGTTGTCTTCAGCGCAAACTTGAACTTGAATCAGGGAACAAACAAATTGACTTACCAGATTTTCCTGTCTAAATATTATGAGCTGAACTCAGTTTAAAGGAAGAAAGCACACCAAAAATATTTAAACAATATTTTTAATTTTGGTTGATGCATCTAGGAGCAGTTGTCACCAACTAAAGTGCCTTTCTCTACAACACCATGTGAGATTGCGAAATTTTCAATCTGCTTCAAAACACAGGAAGCTTAGGAAACTGGAATAGCCACAAAGTATGTTTCTACATTGATTTGTTTATTAATGATGCAAAATAAAAGACTTGTATTTCAGGTTTGGCTGTCATGAATATTCCTTCAAGGGTCAAGCTTTAGCTTTGAGAGATTTAACTCCCGATTCCTGCTCATTTGAACTAATTAGATCAAGAAAAAGAGATACGAAGTAAGGATAAGCCATTTGAGAACACTGCTAACTTTCTTTTTCAATAACTATGATGTGCAGCATGTTTCATGAAGTGATTTGGGGGCACACAAACTCTGCAATTCTTTGCCACTGCATTGGTGCTTAAGGCATATTGTGGCAGTTGTCCAAGGTAGGGCAGCTTTCAAGTTTGCTCAAACAGTTGTGCAAACCAAACCAGTAAGTCTTGACTCTAAAAGAGCAAACACTAAAGTCCCCTGATTTTGTTCCCATTTAGGGATGAATCAGGAGGACCTTTCTCTTCAGCCAATGACATTTTCTTCTGTTATGTCCAGGATGCAACTAATGAGACAACAGCAGCATTGAGTCAGCAAGAGTTGCTGTCTTAGCAAGGTCAGCAAGAAGAGTCATGGAGGAATGTTACCAGCTTAAGGAGCTTTGGGGGATAAAAATGATCTGTCTCTTCCCTGAATTCAATATATAACAAGGATATGAATTCGAGGAAAACATGTAACCTAATGAGAAGAAACAGCCTCCTATGCAGTTCAGTCCCTCTTATCCTGTGTCTGGGAATTGTTAATCTTTAGGTAAAAGCTATAAATTAGACATTAATTTTAGAACAAATTGCAATTTTGCTCTGATCTTCGGGTTCTTTATTGTTGCTGATGGAGCAGAGCAATGAAATCAGGCCAGTATGCATAATGACCATATTGTTTTCACCATGTAGGCAGGCTTTTTTGGTTGATTTGTGCCTCTTCTGGGAGTTATATTACCTATATTCAGGTTATAAGCCCTTACGACATTTGATAGGAACAGAACTAAACATAACTGTAGGCAAATAAGATTCTATAAAATGAAATGAAAATCTCTTCTATTTTTGGTCTTGCAGGTGATCCAGCTGTGGGGAAGACTGCTTTAGCCCAGATGTTCCGCAGTGATGGGGCCCATTTTCAGAAGAATTATACACTAGTGAGCATAAATGAGACAATAGGCTCTCCATCAACTTTTCTGTGTTATATAAAAACAGAAAAAAATGAATATATATATAAATGAAAATGTCATTTTTAAAAAATGAATAATGTCATTTATAAATATAAAAAAATGAATAATGTCATTTTAAGATGAGGCATTGAAGGTGGGATCTTGTTTTAGGGTTTTCTTTCTCCCTCACACTCCTGAAGAGAAATAGTTTAGCATTTTAAGTCTTTGCATTATGTAGGGGCAGGCTTCAAAGCTTGATGCAGAGTCAACTACTTAATTTT